AATCCCCAATACCCACACACCCAAGAGGTCCTTTTTTGCATCCTCCACTCCTTCAGGAACGTGCGACTTCGAGGCGAGCACGTGCGGCTGGCAGAACGTGGTCACGGGAGACAACCGCACAGACGAGTCGGACTGGGTGCGCGGGACGGGCCGGACGGGCATCGACCTCGATAATCCCGAGGCGGATCATAATGGAGATGTCAATGGTGGGTTTCGTACGTTTTTGAGGAGAGGGGAATATATATATATATATATATATATATATATATATATATATATATATATATATATGTATATATATATGTATATACATACATACATATATACATATATACATATACATATACATATACATATATACATATATACATATACATACATTATATACATATATAATATACATATATACATATATACATATACATATACATATACATATACATATACATATACATATATATATATACAATATAATATTATAATATATATATATATATATATATAATATATATATATATATATATATATACAACCACACACACACACACACACACACACACACACACACACACACACACACACACACACACACACACACACACACACACACACACACACACACACACACACACACACACACACACACACACACACACACACAGATAGATAGATAAGATAAATCGATCGATCATCTATATATTTAGATAGATAGATAGATGGATAAATATATCGAGAGAGAGAGAATGTTAATAGTTAATTCGTTGAAACTGACGAGAGAGACACAGTCATCACAAACTTCAATGAGAGAGAGGTTCGGCTCAGAAATGGCAGTCGGAGACGATGTTAATGGATATATCTCCTATTCCCATGTGCATGCAGCCACGTACCTTTACGTAGACACAGTATTCGGGGGCACCGGAATGGCACTGCTGGAGAGCCAGATGTTCCAGCCTGAACAGCACAACAACCTTTGTTTCCACTTCTGGTTCTTCATCCAGGTGAGACACTCGAAATACTTGACGATGAAGATCCTTAGAATGAAAAGAAGATAGCCAACAACTTAATTAAGTACGTCCAGCCATGTAGCTAAAACGTTGCAATTTTAAAAAAATAACAACAATCGAATATGATAATATTAATTCACAAATCACTTTAACCGAATAGGGAGAAGAAGAGGACAACATATGGATCGAGTTGCAGAAAGAGGACGGCAGGAAACACGAGGTGTGGAATGCAAACGGCCAGAGCGACAAGCTTGGAAAATGGAAGGAAGGACAGATACACATCAAGGCAGATAACGTTTTCACCCCTGCGCCATACCAGGTAGATAGATAGAGAGAGAGAGAGAGAGAGAGAGAGAGAGAGAGAGAGAGAGAGAGAGAGAGAGAGAGAGAGAGAGAGAAGAGAGAGAGAGAGAGAGAGAGAGAGAGAGAGAGAGAGAGAGAGAGAGAGAGAGAGTTTCGATAGAAAGAGCAGCAAATTTTTGTTGAAACATTGATTCATTGTCAAATGAAACCATAATTCAGTCTGACAAATAAAAGTAATATCAAAACAAAGAATTTGCTCATAGTTTTGTCACACGCCTTATTTTATTGAAGGTCTTCTTCGTTGGTTTCCGTAAGCACGAGCACGCCAAGATAGCCATCGACGACCTCGTCATGACCAAATTCAACGGAAACTGCTCAGTGTTGCCAACTCACAACGTGAGTATTTTAATTTCGTTTCTGACCTGGTGATTTTTTTTTGTATGTGTGATTTCAATATTGTGACATCAAAGAATTATTATCTTCATTTAGCTTTAGGTTTGGTGTTCCACACGCTTCTCTATATGTGGTCGTCTCTGTTATGATATTAAGTTCCTGTTAACCAGTGTTATGAACTAGGTTTTTATATCTCGATATTAAGACCATTTTCTTTGAACAGGAGGATGTATCTTGTGATTTCTCAGAAGATCAATGTGGCTGGACAAATGATCCAGACAACCAAATTAATTGGAAATATAGTGGTAAGTCGTTGAAGTGTTTGCCAGCTTTAAGTCATTTTGCTAGTGTTGGGTTCATAACCGAAAATGATAACATATCGTTATTCCGTGTAAAGGAAAGAGGAATAACCACGAAAGAACTGTTATTTACAAAAACGTCTTTGAACTTTATTTCATTTATATCTTTACATTGCTCTTTTCACACTGCGTTTTCTTCTCCTTGTTACTTCCCAGCCGGAGGCCACGAGATGTGGCTCGACCCAGCGGACGTGGGAGAGAACTACAGGGTCGGTCGTTTTAGGAGCCCCGTCGTGGAGGTGGGCGAAGGAGACGCTCTTTGCTTCACGATGACCTGGAAGAAGGAGGACCAGGTCGATGCCTCGCTCTCCGTCGAGCTTTACAGGTAAGGATAGGAGGTTGGGAAGAGTGGGATCGTGGGGATTATGGGGAGAGAGAGAGAGAGAGAGAGAGAGAGAGAGAGAGAGAGAGAGAGAGAGAGAGAGAGAGTAAGAGAGGAGAGAGAGAAAGAGAGAGAGAGAGAAAGAAGAGAGAGAGAAAGAGAGTTGAGGGAGAACGAGAGGAGAAGCAGGGAGAGACAGAGACGTAGAAACAGAGACACATACAAACAGAGGAAGATAAAGAAAAGGTTAGAGCGAATAAATGCAACGAAAAATAACTCTCCTCCCTCCCTGACCCCCACTGCCCTTCTGCCACCCTCAGCGAGAGCTTCGAGGAGGAGGAGACCTTGATGACGATCCACGACGGCATCTCCGGCGAGTACAGGAACACCAGCGTTGAGGTCACTCGGGCGGGGAAGCACCACTTCGTGATCGCGGGTTTGGTGAGTCCCCGTTGGCAGGGCGTTATGAGCTTCAACGGCGTCTCCGTGACCGATGAGCCCTGTTCGGAAGGTGAGTTGGGGTCTTGGTGGTTTCGCTGTTGTGACTTTATGGTTTAAGTTGCGCTATTTCTTTAGTTCGAAATAACCCCGATTGAGTTTATTCTAAATATTTATTGTATGCACAATTAAAATGATGTAATTGATAGTAAGCGATAACTATGCTATTAAAACAATAACAGTTAATACATACATAATACATGTTAATACATACACCGATCCCTTCTATTTTCTCAATTTTTGTTACTCTCTCTCTTATTACTTCCTTACCCCCTTTCTATTGTCTATTTTTTCCTTTTCTCCCTCCCCCCCCCCCTACTTTCTCCACTCGTTCTTCTTTACCCATCTTTCCTCTCCCTCCCACCTACCCTTTCCCCTATTTCTTATTCATCCATCTCCTTCCACTTGTGTCCCTTCTGAAAACCATCTCTTTTTCATTTTATTTATCCCTCTCCATTTTGTCTTCACACCTGCTCTTTTCCCTGTTTCTCATTTGTCCTTTGCCCTCCTACCCCTCCTTTCCATCTACCCTCTCCCTCTTCACCTCTCCCCTCCCCCCCTCATACCTTCCTCCCTCTTTCATATTTACCCCTTTCCCCTCTCCCTCCTCCAGCCGTAGTTTCAGGAGGACTCTCTTGTGACTTCGAAAACCCACAACAATGCGGCTTCCACACTTCCCTCCCCGGAGATACGGCGAAATGGACGTGGGGTTCCGGCACACCTTCCCTTGACCACACCCTCGACGCTATGGATGGTAGGCTTCTTGTTTCTCTCTTTTAATATTCCCCTTGATATTGTTTTTTTTTTTTTTTTTTTTATAGTTGTGACAAGTATTGATTTGATTTTATGGTGGTTGAGTATTATTTGATTAGCTTATATTTATTCAGGAGAGATTTTAGGCATATGAGCTGAGAATTGCAAGATTTCAATTTTCGACTGATGTACTGGGCGTCCTTGGTTGAGTAAATCATTTAAATTCCATGTCAACATACTCTTTGTCTTTATAAAGGTCACAGCATGTTCGTCGTCGTGAATGATGTAGGGAGTAGCAAGATAGCGCATTTAGTTACTCCATCTGTCGTGCCCACGGACGAGTACTTGTGCATTACCTTCTGGATTTACATGCAAGGCTCCCAGTCCTCCACACTTACGGTAAGGTCTGTGTATAATGCGCGCGCGCGCATTATTCACAAATACACAAACACATAGGTGTATGTTTTTATTTGTTTGTTTGTTTGTGTGTGTGTGTATGTGTGTGTGTGTGTGTGTGTGTGTGTGTGTGTGTGTGCACGCGTGTGCGTGTGTGTGTGTGCGTGCGTGTGTATGTGCGTGTGCGCGTGTGTGTGTATATGTGCGTGTGTGTGTGTGTGTGTGTGCGTGCGTGCGTGCGTGCGTGCGTGCGTGCGTGTGTGTGTGTGTGTGTGTGTGTGTGTGTGTGTGTGTGTGTGTGTGTGTGTGTGTTTGCGTGCGTGTATATAATTGTATACGTGTGTTTTTATATGTATGAGACAATAAGACAACAAAGGAATGTTGAGCACTCGTTCACTTCATTTCCGTTCACCCTCGTTTCTAAGTGTTATCCCATGGCCTTCAGATGTACATAGAACAAGGGGGACTCAACAGCCTCCCGCTCTGGACGAAGCGTAAGTCCTTCGGCGCGGAATGGCGCGGCGCCAGAGCCAGCACCAGGGTTGATGTTTCTCAGAATTTTACGGTTAGTCCTACGTGTTGTTTATAAACGATGGCTTTGCTTTAACACAGTGACTAGTTATATATAACATCTATATAGATGGGCAGTTTTGATGTTATATAATGGTTTAGGTTTTGTATTGTGAAATAAGTATCTGGATATTATTCAGGATAAGGTATATTATTTTTTTTGTAAAAAGACGACCGTGGTCAGTTGAGGCAGAATCATTCTTGATATTCAGAACATTTCGAATTCTGTTTCACCATTCACAACACACAAATTCATGAAGAAAAAACAAACAAACATCACATGAAAATAAACAGCTCCCTAAACACAACCCCGCGCCGCAGGTGGTCTTCGAGTTATTAACGGACATGGAGGTAATCTTCGAGAACGTGGCTGTGGACGACGTGGTGATCAGCCCAGGTAGTTGTCCGGAGCCCGTGTCTTGCAACTTCGACGACGACCTCTGCCTGTGGACGCAAGGGCGCATGGATATGATCAACTGGAAACTTGTTAACAGTCAGGGCGATCTTCAAGACCACACGTCTGGTGAGTGTGAGGTGGAGGAGGAGTAGCTTTAGGTAGCATATTCGTGTTAAAATGGTGTTAGTTGTGGTTAAAGAATGGAAAAGGACAAAGGCAGTTGAAGACGATTTTCGTTAAACAAAGGAAAGGGATAAAGAAAGGATACAGACAAAGACGGTCAAGGTGATCGTCGTGACATTAAGCTTAATGAGTAGGGAGAGGCGATAGTTGTTTTAGGGTAGTATATATTCGTAATAAAATAGTGATAATTGTGGTTAAAGGAAAGAAGGTCAAATGGCAGGGTAATTTCTGTGACCGACCGTCTGGTGAATGTGCGGATGTACATCAAAAGCTTTAGGATTACATAATCGTAATAAAATGGTCCTAGATGTATTTAGTTCGAAACATGTATATATATTTTGACACATATTCTGTACGTTTCGCTCTTTCTTTGCTTCATTCCCATACTATCATATAGCTTTTCATCAACAAAAACAGCAAAATAAAATAACAGTCAGTAGTTTATACATGGAAAAAACGAACTCTTTTTCTTTTCTTCCTAAAAGGCAACGGTTATTTCCTGTCTCTGAAGACAGGACCTCCTGCAGCACCTGGAGACATAGCGGTATTGGACTCTGAGCCTGTCATGATCTCGGATGCCGCCTGTCTCTCCTTCTGGTCAGATTCCTTTACTCCGTTATAAGCATAATTATTATCAGCATTAGGTGATCAATTTCATTATTTTTCAAGAAACAGTATTCTTTAAAAAAAAACGCTGGTAGCAGAAAACTGATCATACTGTTATTAGGAAACGTGACTATTAGAAAATAAAACATGTAGTAATAGCGAAACTTACTGTTATATTAGAAGCAATTTTGTCTTTCAGTCAGTCATAACCAATCAATTTCTCAGACCAGCAAGACTTCTCTTCCATAAGTATCCTTACAAATTTCTTTAGAATATGTTTCATAAGGAAGACTGATCAACCCTTTCACGTCTATTCTTCACCTACATACCTGTAGTATTAGCACACAGTGACAGTGATTATCCCATGTTAGAGCTAGTGAGCTAGTTCACTCTCAGATTACGTTATTTTTTCTCAAGGCACAATGTGTGAGACTCCAGGTAGAGTAATTCATATTGTTTTCAGCATACAGTGGTGGCAGTAGTATCATGTGTTATGTGTGATTCACAGTGCATCCCCGCTCTCTCAGGTACAACATGTGGGGCTCGGGTATTGAGCACCTAAATATGCTGCGCCAAGATGGCGAAAGTAAAATCACGTCGCTGTGGAAGCTGGAAGGAGCGCGCACCCAGAACGCATCGGAGTGGCAGTACGCCAGCTTACCTGTCTACAGTGGCTCGAGCGAATTTTTGGTAGGGTTGAGAAAGTGCCATCTGATATGGTATACAATGGACAATTCTCTTTTAAGTGACTGCGATAACAATCCAATCGGCGCGACTTTCCTTAAATTAATGGCGCTCTTTTCCTTACTTTTCCCCAACTCTGAGCTAATATATGCTTTATGATTAACATGTATTTTTTTGTCATTGACATCCATATCCCGACGTCCGTTACCTTTTTGAAATAACCATCCTCTCTTGCTGCAGCTGAAGCTCCAGGCGGTCCTGTCAAGAACGGACGAGGAGGCCCACGGAACGATCGCCGTGGATGACATCATCCTCGTGGCGTCCGTAGAATGCGGCTACGAACCCCCCGGGGCTGAGGTCCTACCCCCGACAATCCCTCCGCCCACCCCAGGCCCACCCCCACGCCAGGATTCCTGCAGTCCTGTGACTTCGAGGATTATGGTGAACCCTTCTGCGGGTGGACCGATATCTCTGCGAACGAGGATTACAAGTGGACCATTGTGAAGGTATTTTTAGATGATCACCCCAGTTTTATCCTCATAGTTATTATTGTTAAAATGATAATAAAATGATGATGGTAATGATAATGATAATAGAAATTTTACTATTATCATTATTATTTTTTTATTATCTCTATTATTTTTATTGTTTTTGCCATCATTATTACTATTACTATCATTATTTTCATTATTATTATCATCACCATTATTTTTATTAACTATTACAGCATTGCGATCGCAATTACACATAATTGTCTACAATTTACACTGCAATAACACAACATAAGAGAAACCTTGTCATGTTTTCCCTCTCTTACTGCTCAGGGAGCTCTTGGGGTCGAGGGTATTGGCCCAGTGTCCGACCACACAACGGGATCAGGGCACTATGCCTCCGTCAGCAGAGGGCCAGACATGGACCAAGTCACCGACGAGATGTCGGTCCTACAGAGTCCTCAACTTCAAAACAGACACGATGATTGCTTCCTCTTCTGGTATTTCCTGTGGGGACAGTCCACGCACCTGTCGGTGCAGT